GAACACTTCAGTGGTTAAAAAAAGAAAAACCAAAACCTGCTTTTATGAGGTTTAGCTACCAAGGTGACTGGATCATGTGAAAAATAAATGTTTATGTGACTGAGGAGCAGAGACACATACCATATATGTTAAAGGTACTTCGTCAGTGCACCCATGATTGTTAAGTACTTGTCATGTTTGATCAGTATCTTATGTGTGATTAAACATAAAAACTGGTGATGGCTTTGTGTGTCAAAAGCAGTGGCAGAAGTTACCGTGCTCGCTGTAGAGATACCTGGGGGAAATTTTGTAATAGAGAAAGACAATCTAGGTTATTTAGTGGTCACTTCTGGCCTGAAATAAGTTACTTCGGTGGAACCTGCTCATTACCCATTAAAACCAGTGGGGATAGGGAGAATCCAAGAAAACCTAGTCGCAAGTCCCATGGCAGGCTCCTTTCAGCCTCTGTTGGGCTTTGTGTTGTCTTCCCAGTGCTCCACATGGGTCTGGCTTTGGCATACCCTGAAACTGTGTGTGGACAAGCAGTACAGTCGTTTTTGGAAGATGCCTCCCTTACTATAAATTGTAATGTGACAAGGACCCTAAGCATGCCTTTATCTTTGTAGCACACATGAAGTCCTGCTGAAATCAGTTTGACAAGTTTTGTGCCTGTGTTGAATTAGAACCGGAACTAATTTTAAAACAGGGATCAGATGTGAGTATTGCAGAGTTTAGGTAGAGAATTTGCCTTTATTTTGGAGTCATAAGCAGTAATGCCCCCTGATCTTTGCAGATAATGAACAACTGAAGAAAATGGCACTATAAAATTAACTCCTTCACACATCTCGCTGAGAGGCAGTACAGATCATAGCAGATTAGCCTACACTGGGCTGTGTGCAGAATAGTTTTTGACATGGATATATCTACTCTGAATAAATGGTAATAGTTAGAAGGAGGCTAAACAAAGGATCAACAATTGCATGTTGTCATGGATTAATCAGATGCTATAAGGAAAAGACAAAATGTTTTCTGTGTTGAGAGAGATCGTAGACAATTTGTAATCTAGGTGATTTTAAAAGTTAGAAACAGTTTCTATTGCTTCATCTTCTCCTGAGCCACTCTGTGCATGTTCTTAAAATGACGTTATGTGAGTTTGGATTTTTTGTTGGCACACTTTTCCTGCAGACAGGATGGAAGTGTCATACCGCAAGCAGGGAGAAATGCCTTTTCATAAAGCATACTACCTGAACACACAGTGAACACTTTCTGTAATCTCATTTGTTTTCTTGATACATCGGCTACTCCTGTTTGGGGAGGGAAGGAAGAGGTAGGTAAAAAAATTGAGCTAGAAACAGATTCTTTAATGTGTGTCTTCTGCTGTCAACCCTTCGTCTTTTCCTTCTCAAACTATAATCAAAAGGGGCAGAAGGCTTCTGCCTGCGTTTAGAATATTTATATAAATCTTTATCCAAATCTGCTATAGAGACTACTTTAAATGTTGAATTCCACTGTGGAGAATAAATCTATTTTGATCTTGAGAGATCAAGAATGCAACTAATTGTAAGTTTTACTTCAGATTCTTTCATTGAAAAATTACACTTCTAACATAAAGCAAACACCTGGAATATTTCATTACAAACCAAATTGCACAATGTCAATATTAACAGCGAGGGATAAAAATACAGTCCAGATGAAAATAGAAAATCTTAAACAATATTTAGTCATGTATTTGACCCTAAAGTATGTAAGGGACAAGCCAAAACAATCTGAACTATTAGTGATGATCTTCAGGAATTCATAGAGGATGGGGAAAGGTCTCAGAGGACTTGAGACAGACAAACATAGTACCTAGTCTTAAATGAGGGAGAGGCATGAGCAGAGGAGGAGAACATGTAGGGAGTCATAGATCAGTTAATGGGATCTTCATTCCCAGGACAATACAGGAAGAATTTACTAAAAATCAGTGTGTAAGAATGTAGATAATTGTGACAATGTTCTTAAAAAGGTGAATTTGTCAAAACCAGACTATGTCAAGCCAATCTGGTTTCATTTTTTGCTGGAGTAATTAGCCCACTGGAACAAAATGTTGCAGACCTTACTGAAGTCAAGATAGATGGCAAGGTCCCACATGGCATTCTTGTGAGCAGTACAGGAGAGGTGTTCTAGAGGAAGTACAAGGCTGATGCATAATTGATTTGATAAACTACTTGAGTGCAAGTTTTCATAATCCCCTGGTAAACTGAGAGAACATGTCAAGCAGGGTGGTACAGATGGAATAATCCTGTTAGCGCTAAGGGAAGAGAATGGAGGTTTCTGTAAAGTCTGTGGAGGAAAGAAAGCTAGGAAGGGTTGCAAGCATCTTGCTTTGTTGAGATTTCAGTGAATGCTGTCGTAGTTCTTAAGATCTGAATTAAACTGGGTTTTGAAATCACAACATCCTTTTTTAAAAAAAATAATCTTACATAGCATAGTCAGAAGAGCATAGATGCAGCTTTCTTTTTCTGAGATGTGCTTGTATTAAAGAAACTTATTTCTCCATTGGTAAACAGTGGAGGGATAGGATAATCTGCCTGTGCACACTGAGCACAACTGAACCGCAGCAGGTATGTGGTACAGAGATTTAGCTTAACGTCTGCAAGTGCTGCAATTGCATATGGACCTGTAGGCTTGGAGACACTGTGAATGCTATTGGGTAAATGAGGAGACTGGAGAAAAACGCTTATTGATTTGTTGGACAGGTTTCCCATTTTATTTATCTCCATCCTTATCTTGAACATGCTTCAACACTGCATGTCAGGTCAAATGTTGCTTTCACTTGGGCTCTGTGCCATCCCAGAACAGGACCTTTAGCAAGCCCTTATGTTCACTCATGCCGCCCTGCATGTAGATCCTACGTGCTGTGCTAGGGATGAGGCACTGCAGAGTATCGCAGTCGCTTTTTCAGACTGCAGCTCGCAGTCAGCAAAGCTAGCTGTTAAGTAGCTTTTGAAAACGGGCATTTCTGGCATTTTTAAAATTTTACTCAAGATCGCAGAAAGATTAGGTAATACCACCCAGTTCTTCCCCAAGAGCATTGCTCAACGTTGAGTCTTGGCAGTTGTCTTTCTTTTGTCAAGAGCCCTCTAGCCCCATAAAAAAAAGCAGTATGGTTAGTAATGCTCTACCTCTTGTCCCTCAGGACACTGAGACAAATGGATCCATTTAGCTTTGCTTCATGGTTCCTTCACTGCAAAGATAAATGAGATGGTGTGCAATGCATTATATATACATTAAAATAAATATCTTTTACACTTCTGTGTAGTTTTACAGACTGCTAGCATTAACTTGTAGAAGAAGGGTATCTTTCAATTTCAGTACTATTAAATAATTGCCATTCCAGAATGATGATTACCCACAATTTATTGAGCATTGTTGGTGTCCTTAATACCACGTAACCGTATCCTTGGCATAAAAAGCCTATCGTGTCAGGCTGTGCACTTTGGATGTAAGCACAGAAGGAGTGCAGAGGGTGACTGTCAAAAACATTTGGGGAGGATTTTTATGAAAAAGTGAGGTGAGGCATACAGTTTCAAAAAAGCAGCTTATGGAACAGCACTGGGCGGCAGCTATGGATGAACAGAAAAAATGGGAAGCTGAGAATTATTTATTTTCTTTCCTACCCACAAGTCCTGCTCTCCCATAATCAAAAAGAAAGAATCATCTTAATGTACAGTGAAAATAGTGTTTCTTTTCCCATTCCCATTTCTTGTAACTGCATTTCTTCCTTTTACACTGTTCTTTTTCCTTTAAGACTTTGTCATGAACAAAGCTGGCCTTCTGTTTTTAGCCTGTTACATGCTGTTCCCTTTCTAAACCTTCTGAAACAGCTACTGAGTATTCCTCTTGAAGTTGAGCATGCCCCCACTTTGGAAAGTAGATGGTGTTCCACTGTCTGAAAATTCTTGGTACCTATGGGATTTCTGTTATGAGAAATCAGTGTCTGATTTTATTTCAAGAAGAAAACTACTACAGAATTTATAACCCTCTGCAGAAGTTTGTGCATCATTTCCAACAGACTAGATCTGCTGCCTGTGGGATAAAATTCTCTCAAGTCTATACTATTTAAGATTACATTTATTCTCTGAATTTCTATAGGCCTCAAATTTATTTGGTGATACTTTAGATTTCTTAGAAATGGACAAGGAATTCTAAACATAATTTTGTTTGGCTTCTGCTTGCTATATCAGTCTTTAATGCTTTTTTTTCTCTGGTACAGTTCACACAATCAATCATGTCCCTGTTAATGCATAGAGGCGTGAAAACAGATTTCAGTTAATTGCCATGTGCTAGCAATCAACTTTTATTGGTTTGGGATTGGTCTTCAATTGGAGAATGACATTTGGGGAGCTAGGAAGAAAGGATAGTCATCTTTTGTCTGTCAAAGTGCCTTAAAAAGGCATTGTTCTGCCTGTTTTCAGTCTTGGGAGAAAGGCCCTGCATATGCTCATGTTTGCATATATAATGCAATAGAAAAACATTCTTAGGCCTGCATTTTCTGGGACCCTTCACAACCTCTGACATGAGGGACATGACATAGTCAGTAGTAGAGATGTCATACTAGGGTTGAGTTTGTGATAGAAAGGACTTGAGCTCACAGGGCAGTCGAGAAATGTTGTCAGAGCTTAGGCAAAGCAGTTCAAAGGCAAGTTATATCGGACAACTGACCTCAACATTATGCCAAGAAAAAGGCTTCTGAAGACAGGGAAACAGTCAGAAGGTTACCTGTCTTACACAGTCCTGTGTTTTATGCCTTTCAGTGCATTGACATGCACTAAAACAAATTTCAGCCTATAATAAGTGGATTGGATTTTGCCTTTCTTAACTTAGTTTGAGTAACTTTTTGGAATGGGTCTGCTGTTTTCAGGGGATGAACAGTGGCAGATTGAACCACAAAGGACTGAATTACCTTAAGCCAAAATACATTGCAGAATAGAAATTACTCTTTAAATTTAACTAATTCCACTGTCTCTTCTTTGCTACAGGTGGTGGATGTGGACTTTAAAACAGTGTCTCTCAACATTTCATCCTCAACTATTTCTAAACTGATTGCACTACAGAAGGAAAGCTGCTAATGGGATAAATGTTGAGACTTTACAAGAACTGACTTGAAGTACCGAAAGCCATTATTATTAATCAAGAAGAGCTTGAAGCTAGGTCTGTACCTGACCAGTCAGCATCATTGTCACATAACAGGCATGGCAAGTAAACGAAAATCAACAACACCGTGCATGGTCTTAGCCAACGAGCAGGATCCAGATCTAGAAATGGTATCAGACTTGGAGGAAGGACCACCTGTACTCGCGCCAGCAGATAACCCTACAGCAGAGAGCGTAACAAGTGATGAGGATGTTCATGAGTATGTGGATTCAGACAATCAGAAAAATACAAATAAAGTAGAAGGTGGTTACGAGTGTAAATACTGTACTTTTCAAACTCCAGATCTCAATATGTTTACTTTTCACGTGGATTCAGAACATCCCAACGTAGTATTAAATTCATCCTATGTTTGTGTAGAATGCAATTTTCTTACCAAAAGATATGATGCCCTCTCAGAACATAATTTGAAGTACCACCCTGGAGAAGAGAATTTTAAATTGACCATGGTGAAACGTAATAATCAGACAATCTTTGAACAAACAGTGAACGATCTCACTTTTGACGGGAGTTTTGTTAGAGAAGAGAATGCTGAACAGGCTGACTCTTCTGAGGTCCCCTCATCAGGGATCTCAATTAGCAAAACTCCTATTATGAAAATGATGAAAAACAAAACTGAGAATAAACGTATCGCTGTTTTCCACAATGTAGTTGATGACATTGCTGGTGAAGAAAAGGGAACTGAAAATGAGCCAAACTCTGAAGAAGTAGTAGAAAACCCACCACCAGCAGTTTCTGAGTCAAAAGCAAGCCATTCAGTTGTTTGCAGTGCAGCAGATGTGGCTAGTGCAGTAGTGACTCCAGCACCAGTGCTTCAGCCTGGGGTGGCACAGGTTATAACAGCTGTTACAGCTCCACAGAACTCAAACCTGATTCCAAAAGTCCTAATACCTGTAAATAGCATTCCAGCCTATAATACTGCTTTGGATAACAATCCTCTTTTGCTTAACACCTACAACAAATTCCCATATCCAACCATGTCAGAAATCACTGTTCTTTCCACTCAAGCTAAGTACACAGAGGAACAGATTAAAATATGGTTTTCTGCGCAGCGTCTGAAACACGGTGTCAGCTGGACACCAGAGGAAGTGGAGGAAGCAAGGAGGAAACAATTTAATGGCACGGTGCATACCGTGCCACAGACAATTACTGTTATTCCAGCACACATTTCTGCCGCTAGCAATGGTTTACCTTCAATTTTACAGACATGCCAAATAGTTGGTCAGCCAGGACTTGTTCTCACGCAAGTTGCAGGTGCAAATACGTTACCAGTAACAGCCCCAATAGCTTTGACTGTAGCAGGAGTCCCAAACCAAACGCAGTTACAGAAGAGTCAGATTCACACTGCTCAGCCTGTTGCAGAAACCAAACAAGTAGCTGCTGTTCCAGCCCCTCAGCCTATCAAAAATGAATGCACGCTGATGAATCCTGACTCCTTTGGAATCCGAGCAAAAAAAACTAAGGAACAGCTGGCAGAATTGAAAGTCAGCTACCTTAAAAATCAGTTTCCTCAAGATTCAGAAATTGTAAGACTTATGAAAATAACGGGCCTGACTAAAGGAGAGATCAAAAAGTGGTTCAGTGATACACGCTACAATCAGAGAAACTCAAAGAATAATCATGGGATTCATCTCAACAGTGATCCGTGTGCCACCATTGTTATTGATTCAAGCGATGAAATGAATGAGTCCCCAACGGGAGTCACTCCACAGAACAAGTCATCATGGAGCACTTTTCCTGATTTCAACCAGCAGAAATTCAAAGAGAAGACTGCTGAACAGCTGCAGGTCCTCCAAGCAAGTTTTCTTAATAACCCAGTCCTTACTGATGAAGAGATGAATAGGTTAAGAGCCCAAACCAAACTGACCAGGAGAGAGATTGATGCCTGGTTTACAGAAAGAAGGAAATCTAATGTCTTGAAAGAAGAGGGAGCTGACTTGAATGAGAGCAATGCTGGCAGCTCAAAAGAAGAGACTGGAGAAACATCTGTGGGAGATGGAGCAGCAGGAGCCAAACCAGTGGGTTCCACTTCAAGCAAAATAGGCAAAAAATCACCAGAGCAGTTGCACATGCTTAAAAGTTCTTTTGTCCGTACTCAGTGGCCATCTCCACAAGAATACAACAAGCTGGCAGAAGAAACTGGGCTCCCAAGATCAGAAATTGTGAGCTGGTTTGGAGATACTCGCTATGCTTGGAAAAATGGAGGACTGAAATGGTATTATTATTACCAGAGCGCAAATGCAAACAGTCTGAATGGCCAAGGCTTTGCGAGAAAGAGAGGAAGAGGAAGACCAAAGGGGAGGGGGAGAGGGAGGCCTCGGGGGAGACCTCGGGGAAGCAAGAGGTTAAATTGCTGGGACAGAGGTGTGTCTGTCATAAAATTCAAAACTGGAACAGCAATCCTAAAGGACTACTATATGAAGCACAAATTCCTTAATGAGCAAGACCTCGATGAACTGGTAGCCAAATCTCACATGGGATATGAGCAGGTCAGAGAATGGTTTGCAGAAAGGCAAAGAAGATTAGAACTTGGAATAGAGCTGTTTGATGAGAACGAGGAGGAAGATGAAATGCTGGAAGATCAGGAAGATGAGGAAGAAACAGATGATAGTGATACTTGGGAACCCCCCCGACATGTTAAGCGTAAACTTTCAAAATCAGATTGACATGCAATTTAGGATTTGGGGGCCAAAACCCAATGAATTAGGTTTGATGTTATGGTGAAGAGCCAAATGATTTTTCATGGCCTTCAATTTAGCAAGCACCTGCTCAGCATTTTCGTTCTACATAAAAGAACATGGGCAAGATGCTACCTGTGCAGGCAACAACTATTTGCTTCCTTGCTACAAAGCGATGGACATCCTTAGGCCTAGCCTGGGACATGGGGTTATAAATCAGATTCAGTTCAGCTCCTCCTCTTCCACATTATCAATTGGAAGATTCATGTTCATCATTCATGTGACTGCTTCTCGATATTTAATTGCCTTATGTTGTTTAATTCCAAAAAAACATACACATGTTTTTCGTTGATGTAGGAGAACGTTGCCTGCTCATGAAGGAGGAAAGTACAAAAACCTAAGATGTCTTTTTGCAAACATCGCTTCACCTGAAAGGTTTCAAGGCCTGGGTTTATTTCTTAAGGAAAGAGTTCAAAACAAAAGAGAAGGGGAAAAGTGTGACAAAGGAATCAATGAACCTAGGGGTGAGGATTGCTTGGTTTAAGAATATGAGGTGATATTGGCACCTTTTGTGTATTTTCAGAGTGTTTTGGGTTTACAGAACTTGTGCTGAAATGTTCTTTGTTGATAATTATTTAGACTGAATGAGTCTAATGCTAGAAGATGCTTTTTGTTACATTTAATCAGTGTATCCTACATCAATTTAATTTAAATGCCTGACAGACTTGATGCAGTTGATAGTAACGTTCATTTTTAGCTTGTGCACTCTTTCCTTTGTTGGAAATGGTAAGAAAAGTACGTATATTTCTAGCTGAAAAGAATAATTTCTTGAAAACTTACACTGAATTTTAAGGTAAACGTGAGGCGGAAACTGCCTAAAAGCTGTTCAGAGTTGCTTGGGGTTCTGTAAGAATACACAGATACAGAGACGAAAAGCGTCTTCAGCTGCTAGTAAGAAAGATTTTCAAGTTGCGGCTATGACATGATGTTTAATTCTCAAAAAAAAAAAAAAAAGAGGTTATATGGCTTTTAGATTCTTAGAAATGATAAACACGCTTGTGTTTAATTGTTCTTCAGTGATAGACCAGTTGAATGATTTGTGCACAAGTTTAACCTAAATTCATCCTAACAGATTGAGCTCACCACTATGCTGATTGTTCTTAGGGCTGCTGGGGAAACACACTTTTTTTTAGCGGTAGTTTGATCTACGTGAAATGAACGCCAGAAGTAGTTTAATCTGATACAGAACATCTACATCTTGAACAAGTGTCTTTAAAACAGAGGGAGGGGGGGAAAAAAGGCCATTTAGTCTCAAGACATAGAACTCTGAGTTTGAATTAGCAACTTAAAAACAATGGGCCAAATTCACAGAAGTTAGTTTAGGCAGATGTCTGGCATCCTAGAAAACTGGAACTCTGAGGACAAGAAGTTTGTGTTCTTCCTACGATCAGTCTGTATTTTTTAGGGATGTTACTTTACATTTAGATGTCAAAAGGTAACGATGATTATTTGGTGCTGCTGTTCTTGCCAGCATTGTCTGCTTTTACATTGACACTAACGGAAAGGATAGTAGCAACCTCCTTTTGTACATCTGTCAGCATCTCCTCTGTAGGCTTCTGCATCTGATGACCAAAAAGAGACAGATTAGTGTAGAGAAAATACATCCTAATGTTTCCACATTTCCAAGAACCTAATCTGGAATTACTCTTTCTTCCTCACTGTGATAACTGTCAAAAGACCAAGAAAGTCCTTTTAGTCATGATACTCTGAAACAGAGGAGCCCATGTTAGATCTGGGTTTTATGCCTGGTAGTAGGTGAAACCCAGATCGAAGCAAGAAACGTCTGATGAAAAAAATACTAACTCGCCTTTCTCCCTGGACACTTGTAGCTGTCTTTCTGCTCCCAGGTTGAACAGGCTGCCTGAATTACAGGAGGATGTTGTATGTGAAAGCCATTTCCTGGGGTGAGTTCTGACTATTTGAGATTGCTGGAAAGAAAAAGGCAATGGCTTTTGGTGTGTGTCATGAATTTGATGATAAAAGTATTGCCTGGCTTCCAAGATTCAAACTGGTGAGGCACAAAGTAGCCAATGGTGCTGGAGAGGACAAGCCAAGAATCCCCTGGTTTGACTTTGGAATGGGGGAGGAGCAAAACCATGTTGTCAGCATATTTCATTGAACTCTGTATGGATGTGAGATGCTGTAAGAGAGATCAGGGTCTGGCCTTTTCAGCATTGACTGCTACGTGTGGTTGGGAGATATTCTTGTTTGGCTGGTAATGGTATGGATGAGGCTGTTGTAGATGCCAGCAGATAGAATAAAGACTTATATTAGCTTCAAGCTCCACTGGGAATACGGGGTCAAAAATCAGTGGTTGCTGAGTGGGAAAGGACAAAGCTAGTAGGGAGAGAGATGCTATTTTTAAGTTTCCAAAAATACTAAAACAGATCATTAAAATCCTTGGGAATATGCCTCTAGCAAGCAAAATCTGGAGTTGCCTTAATCCTTAAGGTTGACCCAGAATTAATTTTCTTTTAAAAAAACCCAAAACTAAAACCCACCCAAGCAACCTGTCCATAATATCTCCATTTTTTGTTAGCAGAGACCGCATTTATGTTAGCATTAAATCCAGCCTTCTTTAAAAGATGGGAAAAAATAAAGATCCAAGTTAATGATCTGATTAAACTGGGACATTTTCCATTTTGGCAGTGTTCTGTTAAATAACACTCGGCTACAATGGTAGGCCTTAGCACATCTGGTCTGAAAAACACAGGAAGAGGAAACACATTGTTTATCAGACTAAATATAGTTGGATTGGATGTCTTCTTTCAGTAAAATGGTCAGAGATGGTGGCTGATGTATACTGGGCCAGATTTTCAGTTGCTGTAAATATTACAGTTCCATATATTCCAGTAGTTATAATAGTATTTACAGCCCATTGAGGATCATCATCTCTTTGCAGAGTATAAAATTTAAATTAAACCATGTGCTGTGGATCAGCTAATGAGAGATGCAGAGTGTCCACATTTCCTTTGGGCTACGTGCACATTGTAAGCCTTTCAGTTGTGCCAAGGATGAGAAAAATCTGGGTGAGTTCAGCCTAAAGAAAGCAATTGAATGCATTCATTATTGCTCATAATCTGTCTGTTATTTCTGTTTGAACAAACAGAGTCCATCAGTTACCAGTTTATTTCATGTTTACAGCATGTGTATATTTGCACTGTGTACTGGGAGAGAGGGAAGCTCCTTCCTGAGGCCTCCTGCGTCAGGAGAAAAGCATTGGAAAGAGCTATCAGCATGCTGGTCTCTGTCTGTGAATTGTGGTTGTGGCTGGTGGGAACTCAAAGCTACTGGTAACAGCAGTTTAGCTCAGATTCATCTCGGCCAACCATAGGCTGCTGTGCTCCTTGCCTAGGTGCCCAAGGCACACTGCATAGTCACTTGAGGGGAAAGAAATTGCCTGGTGGGTGGAGAAGATACGGCACCTTCTCATTCTACCAGTTACATACAGGAAACTTCCTCAACTTAAGCACATCAGCAAGTGTCTTTATGATGAACCTGAGCATTGCAGTGCTCAGCAGCAGCACACCCCTGCACCCTGGCTCCCTCCTGTAGTTTATGCACACCTGCAGGATGTTTTGGAAGCCACTTGGACTGAGCTATGTTGACAGTGGGAAACGAAGGGGCAAGAAAGTATGTCTACCCTGGGGTGAGTGTCCAGTGTGGGGTTTTATGGATTTCCCTGCTCGGTGAAGAACTGTGTGTAGATGAGCCTGTGGTATGTTTTCTGTATTTGTGTGGAGCTTCACCTCTTAATTTTGAGCCAGTTATGAACCAGGCTCCAGTGACTGGACAGACTCCAGTCACTGACAGTGAGATGAAGAAACTGATCTTGCTCAGACCTTGCCTCTGGTTTGTTCCCAGTCTTCGTTGGGAGCACTGTTTCAGAACTCAGCTTTGAGCACCAGTTCCTTTAGAGCTAAGGTTGAGCTTTCCTCTCGGTCTGCTGTTTCTGCCAGGAGTACCTGATCTGATAACACCAGTTACTTGCTGTATCTAGAATTCAGCTAAAGGGAGAATAAAGATAATCCTGTGTCAGGATGGAGAGAAAGAAAGGGTTAAAAGAAAGCAAGTGGTGTCACAACTGGGTGAGGCATCCACCATCACTGTATCATGCTGCTTCATGGCATGTTTTGCTCTTGCTTCTGAGTACAATGAAGGAGCACAATTCCATCTTAAACAGTGCTGTCTTCCCAGTATCAACCTCTCACTGACCCCATGGTTAGTGTTTGTTGTAAAAAGAGCTAGTCCTCCCTGGAGGTTTGAATGAACTAACAGAGTGCTGGCTTGTAAGAAGTGGAAAGAAGGGAAGATGCAGAAGATTGAAGGCTCTTAACTTTTGCTTGCCCTGCACAATTCAGTTACATAGAAGTTGATAAGCAAAGCAAATTTTAATCTTGTTCTGACAGAACAAGTAAAGTATTGCAGTCACTCATTTTTAGCACATAGAAATATCTGTCTTGTTTTCAAAGCAAAGGAGAGGAAAGATACCTAGTCCCTCATGATTAGAATTTAGTGGATTATCTCTAATACAGTATAGTAAATGAGGCCATTCCCTTTTTTAACCTTGTCCAGTACCATTTTAAAACCTGTTTTTTTTCATGCCATTATATGCAATATGGTGTCTGGCAGTAACTTTGATTATTGGGAAGGAATCTTGCAGTGTCCTCACATGACATGAAATAATTTTTCTAATGCATGATTTGCTGACTTTGGACAAAAGCCTATTTTCTTCCTGCTCGCCAAGGAACTGTTGAGGCAGGCAAATGCACTCCCTTCTCCTCTACAGAGCAGAGAAAGCATTTCTGGAGCCCATACAAAGTGATTCATGGCCTTATGCAGTCCCCGTAGGCCAGAAAGCCCAAAGATGCAGACACTTTACCTCCTCCGTTTTCCTCTGAAATGAGAGCACAGCAGTAACTCTGACAACTAGTCTGTGGCTGCTGAGTAACCAAGCTGTAATTTAAGGTGGGGAGCATTTTCCCTTTTGCACTTAACGGAGTACTGTGTATCCAGGCTGGATTTCAGTATTTGCTTCTGTAAATATAACAGTATCGATTTGCATCCTCCACCTGAATCCCATATCTGTCTATATTCCTATCTCCCAAGGAGAGAAGATAATCTTTAAGCTTCTGTAATATTAAATATCCTTGCCCTAACCTGAATGCACAAAAATAGAGTGCAATGACATATAGCTACTTTTTTTGATTTAATTTATTTTTTCTTGGAAAATAATTTTGCCTACATTCAGTAGTAATGAAAAGATGGTGTCTGTAATTAGAGAGCAGTGAATCTGTTGAGAGTTGTTCATGATGCTCATGTAAACTAGATACGGGAAGGGCTAGTAGAGGGCTTGGTTCCCTGCACTGAACAGTGCTGGATTACACCTATATTCTCCATCAAACTTGTAATGTAGATTTAGCAAGTAGCATGACACAAACTTACCAGGTCAAGTTACTTGAGGTTTGTTGATGTGTTAAAATTCTGTAGGAAAAGATTTTAAAATGAAAGTTGTAGCAAGGTGAAAAATCCCCTTAATAGCTACTTACACACACTCAATAGCTCAAATTTTTGTATTGTTTTCCCACCTTTAAAAAGGGAGATTTTGAAGCACAGGCAGGTAACATCCAGTATTTTCAAGTTTCATGGTTGGAGCTCTTGGGAGTTTTTCTCCTTCTGTGGTGAACAGCATCTGCACTTTTTCAGTGGATAGTCATTGCAAAACTGACTTACATGACATTGTAAAATGTAGAGTGATAACTGAGGATCCTGTAGCACTTTTCATGAATTAAGGTGAGATTCTTCTGTGTTTGAGCAAGACACTGCAGCTAGTCAGTATACCTAACAAATGCAAGCCTGTTTATCCCACATGCTTGGAGTTGGTCAGATGAACTGCACCCTGAACTTCATTGACTCTTAACATGTGGCTTGCGGGCAGACACGGACACTACAGACATCTGAAATTAGGTGAGGTGGATCTTCACCTGGGAGTGTGCTGGCTGGATTGCAGCACTTGTCTTTGTGTTGTAGTTAGCAATGGTACTTACCTCTGCTTCTGACTTGATGCTTGTTGGGAAGTGTGAGGCTTTTTTTTTGTTTGTTTGTTTTTTGTTTTTTGTTACTAGAGCAGGTAGCACTACAGTGGTGAATAAAGTAACTGATCTTTGGTTATAATACTGTGGCCTAAAAATGATCTGGGGTTTCTCAAGTATTTTAGAGATAAGGTTACTATATGAACATAGGAACTATATGGACCATGCATAACTTAGAATGTGTTAAGACTCATAATATTTGTGTCCCAGCTGATGAAAGTATTTCCTTATGCTTATCCAATACTAGATACCTATCATGAAACTTTCCCTAAAGAACCTGCTAGAATGACAGAAGATTCAAGTCTTCATCTGTGATATGAAATGGTCAACTGCAAGAGCTCCGTTATGATGTCAAAATGTTGCCTCCAGTTCCAACTTACAAAAGTGTTTCCTATTTTGCATAGTTGGCTATCTGCATGTATGCTTACAGTCTGTACAGAAATGCACTAAAATGAGTTGCCCTACCTGGGAAGGCTTTATATTGTATAGAAAATGTGGCACTAGGTACTGCTCTTCATGTGCACAGGAGAGTTAACATGTGTCGATCTCGTTTACAGAAATGATGGCGCTTTGCAATTTTCTATAATATATTGCAATATATTTAAATGTCCTGTTTGACATGTGAAATGAAATTAAGTTAATGCATTGTTATGTATTTGAAGTATGAGGAAGACGATTCACTAACGACCAGCAAGGTTTTTAGAAGGTGTCCAGTATGTAGCCCTCTGTGTGATCTGTCTGGTGTATGTGATGTTAAAGGAAGCAACAATACTGTCACTGTTTAGAATGAAGAGTTTCTTTTGAATGATGCAATAGCTTACAGTGTCTTTCCTTTGTAGCTGCCCAGTGTGGTGAAGGGGAAGCAATTCTTGAAAAAGTTCAAGATAACTGGTTAACTGTGAATGGGCCTAATCTTTCGTGAAACCAAGAAAATTTTTGGACACACACAGGACTTGAATACTCAAAAGGATTGGAACTTAGTGTTGTGCCAAAGTTAAACTACTGCAGTTGGCAGAAGTTCTGCACTGTAAATAGAAGACTGATTAAAAGCTTGTAAAAAAAAAAATCAAATTTTAATACAGTACATTTTTATTCTGATACATGATGGAAACATTCTGTTATAGACCTTTTTTGAAGAGGCTTCAGTGACCACTAGATTTTGTCCTCTTATATTTTGTTTGGCCTAATACTATATGTTCTAGTAAGATGGGCTTTATTGCCTGTGTTCTTTGATATGTGATTAAGCTTATAGCTTTGAGTGACCAAACATTTTACAGAGTAAAAGTTCTTAGAAACAGTATAACATAACTGATATTTCTGTGTCTTATTTATCAGGCTCTGCACAAACTTGGAAAGTTGTGCTGGACTTGTACAACTCATATATGGGAACGCAGCATACTTCTGGATATTACAAACCTAAGCCTTTGTGGCAGTATGGATCTTGTCTTTGGATTTATTTTTGTTATTTTCTTGAGGCAAAGAGACAAATGGATGCTGCTGTAAAATATTTGTAATATTTGCCATTATTGCTTTCTGTAGCAACTACTGCTTTTGCTTCAACAGATAAAGAAAATAAATCAGAGATAGAAAATTCCTGGTAGAAGAAAGGATCATGTGGGGACTTCTGAAAATAAACTTTGTACCAAAAATTTGAAAAAAAGAAATAATGGAATAAATGTCTCTTTACTGAGTGCGTGTGGTTTTAAGAGTTGATGTGGAAACCAGGAACCGTGTTTGTATGAAAATGTCACAAACCAGATCTTCTCAAATGTCTTTTTTTCCTGTTTCATAAAACTGAATTTCACTGATTCCTCAGATGCATTGAATTTGGAGAATTGGCTTGGCTGAACAGCCAGCGTGAGGTCAGCTTCATGTGCGAGTCAGTGCAGCTGCTTGTTGCTGAACTGTTCTGCTGTGTCAGCAGGCCAGGGACTTTCACGCGATTTTTCTCATTAAGGCAGATGCTCTTTATTGCATTTAAAATACTTAGGGGAGGGAAGAGTAGAGACGAGTAGGAACCACTTCCCTGCTGAAGTCCCTGTCAGTTGGACATCATGCTTCATGGCTGCTTTTAACATTAACATGTGCCTTTTCCTCAGAGGAGAAGGGTCTGAGAGGAGCACTTTCTGCACCTCTCCGGTGAGCCTGACTTGCTGTCATCCACAGAAGCTCCCCACCAGTGGCAGTGCTGCCGTCTTGCATCAGCATGACTCATCATGCCTGTCTACTCAACTGCTGGGCTCCAGCTGAAGGGCTCAAGACCCAGTCTTCCCTGCAGGACCCGGCATTGTGCCTGCAGACCTATCCCTGCCTGAGAAAAAGATATTTAAGGAGATACAATCACTCCTGTGCTGTAGTTTATGTCAGTCCTGAAAAATTACATCCCTAGCTGAAATAGCGACCTGTGTGCAGGCCTGGAGATGACTGCTAGTAGCCAGCAGAGCTTGGTGTTTGGCCAAATGGTTTTACTCGATTTGGGGGAAAAAAAAAAAGGGGGGGGGGGGTGGCGAGAGGGAAAAAGAATGCTTATTCAAGAATCCGTCAGCTAATGAGGGAGTTATGAAAAGCCCTGGATTATACACACAGTCACCTTTTTTTAAACAGTTACCTTTTTTGTTTACAGTGTTATCAGCAATTCCAAAATGCTGCAATTCAGTCGATATTTTCACAAGAGACCAGCTGGCTTTGTGGGTTGTTTCCCCTCTCCCAGCCTCCTCTTCCCAGCCCCTTCCATCTTCCATTTGTTTTCATAACAATACTGTCAACTACTATTTTTAAGGATTTAAAATACCAAGCTACTTTGTGCTCTGCCTTATTTTTCTTTTTATGCCAGAAAGTCCCCTCTAGAATGATAAACAGCTCCCTGTGGTCTTGGTGTTGCTTTGAAATTCTGCTGGTGATGGTCTTCAGTCTGTGGTTTCTAACATTTTTGGTTGTTAAATGACTTGCTGCACTTCATATACTGCAAAATGAAACCTTTGAATATTATGTTTCTACTGCTGTAATGTTGAATTATTAGCATTGTGACTAATTCCTCTCCCATGTGTGTTTCTTTACAGGCTCAGTGCTGAGCTGATGTTCATTACCTTAAAATACTTATTTGGTAGAAGGAAGAAAAGATAGAAAAGGAACGAAAAAGTGTGTGTCACACCTAGTTGATTTGTGTCTTTGGGTGAAAATAAAGGTCAGTGTTGGCAGTAATTCTCCTCTTAGTGATTTTCAGTTTTCCTAAATGAAAGCCAAATAGAAAAAAACGTAATTGCAGTGAAGCCTGTCTTAAGTGACTAACATGGAAGAGGGCCCACAAAATAGACTCTAATAATGGCGTGTTCTGAACTGAAGGACATGGTACAAATAATATTGCAATAGTAACTGCTCTCAATCTTGCAGTTTCTTTCCAGCAGCTGGCCAGAGCCCCCAGGTGAAGTCCAGCTGCAAGGATTTCTGTGCAAGCATCGCACCCAGCACCCACAGAGTGCAGAAGCAGAGGCCCACAGAAGCCCTGTGATAGAAGTGGCTCATTTTTCTTAGTGACAGCACGAAGTTAAAACCTGCATAACAGATGTGTGTTTTGTGGTGTTCTTTGCTCTAAATTCATTTCACTTGCAATGATTTGGGGAAGTGAGCAATTGTGGACAAAGTCCATTTTTGATTTCTACATTTTGTTTGCATTTGCTCATTGAGTAGTTCTTTCCCTGTGCTTTGCCTCACGCTTTCTGTGGGACTGATACTTGTACAAGGCAAATATGAAGCCATAGAAGCTAAATTTAATAGCTGTTTCCACTGGTCCTTTCCAACAGTGCAAAAGCTGCATGGGAAATGAGGCACTGGAGAATCAACAAACAGTTTGGTTGTTTCCCTTGTGGAGGCAGCCTCCCCTGCCAGCCTCCATATGGAAAAGGAAAGCAGGAATGGAAAAGCCCACAAGTTGTGCAGGTCACTCAAGGGCAGTCCTGAAGCCCTGCCTATATTTCTTCAATGTAGCAAATTTTCTTCTAACTCTAGATTTGTTTCTCATTGTTCCTGCAATATGACAATGTTGTAGTGTCAGCTCGGTGTAATGCATGTTATTATAATAGAGGTCTACAGCAGCCAAGGCTGCTTAAGTGGTGTCCTATAGGAGTTGCCACCTGTGTTACTTAGCCCTGCCCAGTCCTGAAAACCACAGTAGTAAAGTTTTAACTTGGAGAGGTAAGAAATCCACTATAGTTTCCACACCCTCCTTTCATCATGAGTAGCAATTAAGCAACAATCGTAACTGTGGCCATGGGAAGTTAACGAGTTTTCAGAAAAACTGATAAAACTGAAAAAAGGGCATAGAAGAAGGCATACAAACTTCACTGTGCCTAACAGTTAGTCTGTTGGGGTTTTTTACAGTTAGAACAGAAGATTGGAGATACCACACTTTGCCATGACTTCTGCATCCAGCTTGTATCTTCAGACCATCAAGGTACAACCTTGGTGCTTGTACTACATAGCTGAGTGAAGAGGTTCAGACACATGATTCACATCAGTACTGGAAATGTGCAGGAAGATCATTGCTTTAGGATTCCCCCTGGCATCTGATCACCTCCTTCCTGACTCTCCAGAAAGCTTTTTTCCTATTCTGTTTTCAACAGCATTCTGGTCAAACCCGAGGGTGTACTCATTTTGTTCATCATTTGTCTTGCTAGTCAGAAAATAGTTGCAAAACCCATTAATAGCTGAACACATCTGTGTGTAGTGCACCCTCTTGGCAATAACAACTTTACTGGGTTTTGTGAGGCCCGAGGGGGAAGGATTATGGCCTAGTTAATATGTCTTGCCAGGGTTTTGAAAGGTTTCACTGTTTTAAGATAGAGCAGGAAATGAACCATCTTTTGAGGGTTATGTCTTCTCCTGACTGTCCTAAGGACCCCTAAAAAACTTTTGGCTTCTGCTAATGACAAACAGTTCTTGCTCTTTGATTTCCATGATGCATGACCCTTCACCTCCCTACTCATTTTCCTTGCATCTTACTAGAACTGTGGGGTGACCTGATAATTTCTGAAGAAACCAGATTCCATGGCTCTGCTCTTCTGGAGAGATGAGAATGCAAAAGGACATTCCCTGCCTGCTGAACTCAGTGCCTGTTTGAAGCAGTGCTGCCTGGCTTCATCTCCCTGGTCACCTCTTCCTGCCCGGTTTCTTGCCTGATGCCCTTCTTCTGCTCAGCCCCTGGCCTCTGTGCTCATATGTTAATACTGCCCTAGTTTCAATGTACTCTTCTCTTTCCACAGTGTGTGAGGGTGCCAGAGCACTTTTCCCCTTCAAGAGTAAGGACTCATTTTAGTTCCTGTATTTGCCTTTGCTCAGTCCTGTTTTACCTTCCTCAAGGACGGATCTAGATTAGCAAATGTAGCTTCTTGCTCACATTTGGCTGAACTGGTTTCTCAGCTAGCTTGAGATAGATGTTCATTCTGATCTACCAGCACTTTCTTTAAAGATGTACTGAGTTTGAGACAAGTATTATTTTTCTGAAATTTGGGTCAGTAGCTTTGGCTCAGGGGGTCAGTCTTCTGTCACCCTCAGTATGACCACTTACTGTTCTAGGAGGATTGCTCTTGAGCTCTGCAGTTGCATCTCATACCATCATAGTAAGATATGTTAGAGCTCATCTGAGCTCATCAGAACTTTAACTGCAGTTTTGTTTGCAGTTTGTAGTAGTGGTAACTTCTGTATGGCCCTAGCCATCAAATGTTATTTGTATTACCCTCCCGAGTTAGTCATGGACAATATCTCCTTATGTGTGACACTATGCTAAGAGGATGAAAGATGGTCTCTGCTGTAAAGAGCTTGTAATCTAAATAAAAAGCAAGAGACAAGGACACAGTGAGACAATGTCAGCAAATAAAGAGCTGCTCCCCTCTTTTCATGTTTAGGGAAAAGCCTATGACTGTCGAGAAAATTAATCTTCCCTCAAGGTATGAATATTTCACAGTGTCTGGCAGAATCCACTTAAGATTCAGGAGCCGCCCATCCTTTGAGGAATGTTCCCTGTGGGCCTTACTGCCCTCTTCACTGCAGGCAGCTCTCTTGCTTTGTGGAGGGAACTAGTCTCTCTTTTGCTTTCTTCCAAGAGCAGCTACTTTCCAGCATATTTTATATAAAGCTCTAAACCATGTGAGAGCTGCACGGTCGATGTGTGTGGGTAGTGCCTACCAAGATAGGGCCCTAGTTGCTGACCGAGGCTTCTTGTTTCTACTGTGTGCTTGATGGTCTCTGAAAACTTTGTGGTGCACATTCTCCTGGCACAAGAGTGGCTGGACTGTGGCGAGGACCCATGGAGGCTATCACAATACAAATAACATCAGTAATTAAAGAAGCACTGGGGGAGAATTCTTCTGAATTAATTTTGCCTCGGAGTAGACTGGGAGAAGGGCTGTCGGGATCTAGACAAGCTTCATCTGACATGCTGTATTTTCTTTTCTTGGCCAAAAGGCTCGGCAATAGAGCAGTGTGACAAATTTCTGCCTATCGCTTGAGTTGTCTTCACCGCCCAGGCTGTGGGCTCTGGGCTCACCCTGACTGCAAGATGAAGCATGCTAGCCTGCCGCCAGTTCACTGAGGTTGAAGCTGGGTCACAGCACCTCACCACCAACATAACGAAGCATGGTCGTGTAAACAGCTACAATAGCTTTGCTGA